GATTTCGAGTGAATAATGCCTGTAGATCTTAGCGAGGGTCACCCTTCTTCGAACTTCTTTAACGATCTTCATTTATATTCATGATTGTTGTTGTAATATTTGGTTAAAGTTGTTAAGCTCAGATATTTAACAATGCAATAGGGACATTTTCACGGGTAATTTTTAGTAATACTAGTCTCAAGAAGTTTATCAATTTGTAATCATAGTACCTTCAAGGAATTATCAATTTGTAGTCCTAGTACTCCAAAGGAGTTTATCAATTTGCAGTCATAGTACTTTCAAGAAGTTTATCAATTTGTAATCATAGTACTCTCAAGGAATTATCAATTTGTAGTCATAGTACTCAAATAGTTTATCAAATTGTTAAAGAAATTATTTTGTATATACGCTCCATCCATATATATATATAGTACTCTCAAGGAGAGAGTAATCATAGTACTCTCAAGGAATTAGCGTATATAAAATAGTTTATCAAATCATTAATATTTATATATACTCCATCCATATATATATATATATATATATATATATATATATATATATTTATATATATATATATATATATATATATATATATATATATGGGGGATAGATGGAGGGAGGATGGGGGGAATTTTATATTTATATACGCCCATCCCCTCTTTTCTCTCTCTCTCCATATATATATATATATATATATATATATATATATATATATATATAGAGAGAGAGAGAGAGAGAGGGGTATGGAGCGTATAGAAATATAAAAGTGAACATTGAAGTCAACACCCAGAGGCGACAGTGTTTCATGCTAAATAAACTCATCAGGCTATCTTTCATGGTAGATGCCAGCCAGTGCATCGCGAACAATGCATGTATATATTTCAGGTACGGTGGAGTAATGGATAGCAGTTTGGATTGTGAAATCGGAGAGCCGAGTTCGAATTCCAGTCGAATCCATTACATTCACTTACGTGCTAATAACCCTGAGGAAAGGTATGAATCATCTTCTTCTCCCCCCAGCCGTGGGTAAATATCAGTACAGACTGGGTTCTATAGCCTTGGATGACAACTGGTCTAGGAGAAGGACACCTCTGAATTCAAAACCTGCAGAGGGTCGTTTGGGGACCTTGTGGCACGTAGTGCACCAGGTCTCTGTATTCGGGCCTTCAAAAAGTGTAGATGGTCCTGCAAAAACCTTCACCACTATAATCAAATCTCATGTGCTGCTATCGGTTTCCTAGGATCTGCTTGACCCTCATACGTCGAATATATAATATAATATGATATAATACAATATATATATATATATATATATATATATATATGGAGTAATGAAATCAACATATCCATCCTTTGATAAATTCAGTCGTCTGAAATGTTAACTTTTGTACCCTAAACCTCATGTTACAAAATGAAAGCCATTGCTCTTGTCGTAAGAGTAATGGCTATAGAACCACAGCCGTATTAATTCTTACTCAAAATAAGCACTTACATAAAGGCCCCAAAAGAGAAGGTTCCACCAAAGAGAATTGGTGGTATGACAGTTTTTTGCAGGACTTATATAACCAAATCATAATTTCAATAAAATCGAAAACAGTCAAGTCATATAAAAAAGGGTCGACAAAATTGCCCCATTTTGGTCGTTAACGACTTTTTTGTAAGGTGAGGTGATAAATGAATAAAAAAAGTCGCGCGTTCCTATTTCGCTATTCAAAAAGACTTTCTTTTTCTGTGCCGTGTGCTTTCAGGACGTAGGCGATCATGGCTCCCCACCTCCCCCTATCCCTTGCAGCTCTCAACAAGTTCCTTCCCTCTGCTTCCTCCCAGAAACCACGTTCTGTCAACCACTAACTTAAGTCCGCCAGGTATGTTACACGTTGTTTTCCCTTGTCTCACTTTCTCTCTATTCGACCCGTGAGTATCAGATTCTCCAGGCCCTCCTTCCTCATTATGTGTCCTAGAAACTTCAGCTGCATCTTCCCGATCACTTTGCCTAAAATGTCTTTATCTTATCTGCATTAATTTCCTGGCCTCTCTGCTCTCACTCAAGCTACTGCAATATTAAAAAAATTGTCTATTTTAACGTCCCATATGAGGTGGATAGTGGAAAGAACTTGAATTTCTCATTAATGACATTACTTTATATTTACAACATAAATAGGTAGTTATTTTAATAAATCGGTATTTTAAGCATATGAATAAATTGTATTACTAAATGAAAAGCAGAAGTCTTGCTATCAAGGGAGATCCGAGTGGGGGCGACATTGTTAGGTTGTCCTTATAGCATCAATTAACCTGTGTAATAATATAGAGGCTGAGTATCACGAAGGTTACTTAGTTATACAGATCAATACGTTATTGTATCTGGTCTTCGATCCTCTTTGGGTACTGCAGAACTAATTTTGTGCTAGACTGATATTAGGAGATACTTTACGATACTTCGTCGTGCAAGAATGGTTTACAAGTGAGATTCAAAGATTATTTGTTAATGTAGTAGGCTTAATCATCACTGGGGATTGCCTTTACCTTGAGTGTCTTTTACTAGGCATGACCAACTTTTGTCTTCATTTTGTTAGTAACATCGAACCTGAATTTGCAAGTTAAATCTTTTTTTTTTTAATTCCCGAAAGCGTTAGATCAAATTTCCACACGTACTGTATGTTTGGGGTATTTTTACGAATGACAAGTAGTCACAAAATAATAAAACTAAGAAAGAAAAAAAGATGTTCTTCTAATTGACTAAAGAATCTCACTCACTTTGCGTGAAATTACCGAACCGAATATAGTCTTCCTCGATGCCTAAGTTAAATACCAAAAAACAAAAAAGACAAGTTAGAATGACACAGTGGCCAGGAAAAAAAAATAACAACACATTGAACAAAAATCTCGTTCATTCGAGGCACTTTTATCACTTGACGAGGTTGGGGCTTAATTTGTGCCTGCGCATGTCACGCAAGATATCAGTGAGTTCTTTCATCACTAGGGGCTCTATATACGTGGCCTTGTGCTAGAATCTGATAAATAAAAGAATCTTCAATGCGTGTGGGGCAAATATAATCAGAAATAGTAAGACTGTATGTATTAAGTCTTAACTACGTGTCTATGCCTTTCGAGCGATGGTTATCTTAGTTTCATAGTCATTTGTTAGTGCACTCAATCGTGATCAGGTGCATCACTGCACCAGCAAATAACAATCCACATATTCCTATGTAGAAACTCACATACATAAAGACATTATTTTGGATAGCAATAAAAAAAAAAAACATTTTTTAATATCTATAATTTTGAATCTTCTAGATATGTCCGGAAAGTATGCAGCCATTTTGAATATAAGCGGCGACGTTGCTTTTATGTAACTGTGCAGCAATTAAAGGGGACATTACTCCGTATGCGCAAACAGATATTTTCCCGTTGGGTAACTCAATCGGTAGTAATACACAAATGAATAATCTTTTCTTGTGTGTCACAATGATCGAACGAGTAAATAAATGTTGTTTTTTTTTTCGGCAAAAGATCGCATCAACCAAAGTACATATTCTAATCTGCGACTTCTGTTTTTTTTTTTCCCAAAGCTAAAAGAAGTTAAAATTACTGTTGCGTAATGAAGTGCTACTGCCATGCCATATCTGGGCTCTCCAGTTGCCCAGTCCGCAATTTCCAGTTTTGAGTTCAAAAGTGTCTACGCGGCTTTGTGGATGTTAAATTATTTCCCGCTCGACAACCACTTTCCGACAGACAACAACCTCGCAAGCCTATCGTTAGTCTATCAATATTTCCACGGCAAGGGTTCAGACAAGTGACCTTTCTTAGTTACACCATTTCAGAGCTTCCCGGCTAGAAACCGCTATGCACAAGGCCGAATCCTCCCCATTCCCTTCGTATTCCATTAGTAAGGAAGAAGTTCTACTCAAACAGCTTCTTTCCAAGAACTGCTGCTTTATTGAAAAAAACTCCCCAGAGGATACTTCTCTGATCACTCCAATCTTAACATCTTTAAGTCAAGCGTTATTTATCCTACATATCCTGATAATCTTCACTTCTAACCACCTCTTCCTCCTCCTATTACTTTCAAACAACACCCTTATTCAGTAAAACTCTGCCTTGAGTGGCTTTTGGGCCTTGTAATGGGTGATTAATTAGTAAAAAAAAAGAAGAAAATAGTAAATAAAAAGTACTTTGCAAACTGGAAAAGTCGAACGGAGTCTAGAATAAGTATGCCTGATCCCAAAGAGAGTACTTTGGTTTGATTTGGTTTGGTTTGGTTTGGTCTGGTTTGTTTTACGGCATATCAACCTCAATGAGTTATTTAATGCCGATAAGATTTTTATTGCTAGTATTTTTTTTTTCAAAAATGTTTTGCTGATAATATTTTTTTTTCAAAAGATGTATTGCTGGTATTAAAACATATTTTTTACGATTTCATAGTGTTTTGACCCCAGTTTGGGGGTCAACTATTTGCCCATAGCTGGAACCCTAAAAGATGCTACCAGCCCGGGTCAGGGTGGACCTGGGAACACCAGCAATTAAGAGGTGGTTCCACGCTCCTCAAAACCTCTTGATCAGAGGCCTTGCTGCCGGATGTAGTTTATCGTCATGCCCAGGACACTTCATTGGAGTGTCTTACCCCTCTGCAAAGGTGCAATCGACGTATTCTGAAGCCTCAACCGACAGGGCATACAGTAGTTTGAAGAAGACGGAGACGCTATTGCCCTAGGTAGGCTATTTTATAGTTCCATTGAAGATGGATGAATACTTCCCGGACATCCACCATATTAGTGACTGGATGAGTAAAATTTGATTTATTTGATTAGAAAATGACGACTACTTTGTTTTTTTTTTTTTTTTTTTTTTGTTGGTGTGTTGCGTTTTATTCTTCTTGGGTGCACGATTACTATGGCCTTGTGTCATACTAATCTATTCTCATTCCGTTATGCGAGCTAACGTGCCAGCTCCCATATGAGAGAAAATGAATATTAATTTTAGCACATGTGAGGTGAGAGCGATGTCGGCAAGAGAAGTCAGAAAATAAGCAGCTCTCGATAGACACATTTTATGACGGCGGCTGCGATGGCTTCGGCGGCTATGATGGCGGAGGCAGAAGCAGCAGAGACGGTGTCAAATTCCCGCCACTTGGCAAACACTAGCGGACTTGTATGGTATAAGGCTGAATTGTCTCTATGGTAACCAAGCTGCTTGTTCAAGATACTATGAGTGAGAAAATGATTTAAAAAAAAAAAAAAAGTCGAGGCGGTGGTTGAAAAGTTGAGGGTATGCAATAAGCCTGTGGGCGAGGAGCTAGTAATTTTCTCTTTTTTTTTTTTGTCTTCACATTCATTTATTATTTCTTTAACCACTTCAACAGATAATCTCTAGCCGTAAGGACGCCTACCGTAGTGTAACGCTTAACAATTTGCTAATATTGAGTTCGATCTTCACAATGTGCCGTGGTCTTGTGTTCGAATTAATTCGATGTTTTTAAAATATTTACAAAATGCCTGTTTCGAGGGCGGGTGCTTTGTATTTGTTTTGGGTGTTGAATTTTGAATGGCCATTTTCGTTATAGACCTGACCATTCTGAGAGAAATGACGCAATACGACCTCCCAAGACTGCCCACAGGAATTTATAATAAGCTCAGTAAATACCAATAAGCCCTAGCAATTAAAAGATATGTTATCATAAATTATTAAATTAACTCATTTTAAGATAACAAAATTTGTGCGCGATGTATATTCGGAACAGAGAACGTATATATATATATATATTTATTAAAGACATTTTTATGTTTAACGTTCTTTTTTATAGATACAAGTATTTAAGTAAATGCTCTGTTTATAATAAACAGTATTAAATATCATTTACCGGCCTGAATGTCCGAGAAATTTTCATAGAAAATATTCGTCCTTTGACAGGATTCGAACCAGCATACGAACTATACGGAACCGTCATTTACACTGACGTGCCTTAACCGACTCGGCCACAAAGGAGCGTTCGGTAGGCAAGGTCGAATTTACTGCTTATAAACTTCAATCTTCCATGAATCTCGTACATTCATAACTGCTCATGGCGTATCAAATGTAAACAAATGACGTCATATATTAAGAAATGGACAAAGTCCGACAATTTATTTATTAAAGACATTTTTATGTTTAACGTTCTTTTTTATAGGATGCAAGTCTTTATTTAACCCTAGTTTATATGTATTTAATTTTAAAATCCAGTATTTTTCTTTTTTTGCGTGTGTATGTGGAACTGAAATCAGAATCTATCAATAAACATTTACAGTTTTCTAATGAGTGTCCTGATTGATTAAAGTGTTCAGCTATGGAGGAGTAAGGATTGTTTTGACGTATGGTTTGTTTATAATTGTTGAAGCGAAATCTAAAATTATTTCCAGATTCACCAATATATCCACTATTAGGACATAAGGTGCAGAATAAATAGTAGATTATGTTATGGCTATCACAGGTGAGGTGAGGTGGGTGTATTTTTTTTATTTCTTATTTTATTTTTTAAACAACATCTAAGATATTATTACAGTTAGATTTACATTAGGAATATTCGTTCCATATCACGTGACGTCCGCATCTCGCAACGGACGCTACTTGTAAACAAACAGTTATTTCTGAAGAAAGATTGAGGCCAATCTGAAATATCAAATATACAGTAGCGTCCAAAACTAAGGGACAAAATTTTAAAACTTAATATTTGTTAGAAATAACAACTGTGAAAAGCTGAAATTTTGACAACTGGTAGTCGTTATCATCCATAATAACATACTAAAATTTGAATCATTTGCAAAGGATAGAAAAAGAATTATAACAATTATTTATTTATTTTCAAAATAGGATCGTCCAAAAGTAAGGGACAAAATTGAGAAAAACAATGTAAACAGTATGCTATTTTCAAATTTTTTGATTTCTTCTAAAAAATAAGTCTTACTTAGTCATTTGTAAACGTTGCATCAGCCGGCACCATGGCGAAACGCCAAAAACTTGATTACTCTGTGAGACAAACTATTGTGAAGCTACACAAGGAAAAAAACACAATTAGAGAGATTTCAGAGAAAGTGAAACGTCCCAAGAGTGTTGTAGGCGGGGTTGTTAAATCCTACAATGATACTGGCAAAATAGTGTACTTTTAAAACCGGCAGACCCGCAAAACTTCGGCAAGAGAAGATCGAATAATGAAGCGTATGTCATTAAAGGACCGTTTTAAGTCTTGCACAGAAATTAAAAGGATTATGAATAGTACCTCATGTGTTAATGTGTCAAGACAGACTGTTTGTAGACGACTGCAAGAAATAGGGCTGTTTAATCGAACCCCAGGGAAGAAACCACTTGTTAGTCCTAAGAATAAGAAGAAGAGATTAGAGTTTGCAAACAGGTATGTAATTTGGACATATGAAAATTGGGCAAAAGTATTTTTCAGTGATGAAAGCAAGTTTAATTTATTTGGAAATGATGGAAAAAACAATGTAAAGAGACGTATTGGTGAAAGATTAAGTGCAAAAGTGTACTAAGAAAACTGTCAAGTTTGCGGGCGGAAGCGTCATGGTATTTGGAATGTTTTCTAGCCAAGGTACAACGCCTCTTGTCCGGTTACAAACTCGTGTAAACGCGCAGATCTATAAAACATTGTTCAAGATCATCTTGTGCCAATCATACAGAATTCAGGTTTCGATAGGGCTACCTTTATGCAAGATAATGCCCCATGTCACAAGGCAAAGGTGGTAATGAGTTACCTTAGCGAGCAAGATTTGAAAATTATGGATTGGCCACCGAAAATTCTGACTTAAATCCAATAGAAAATCTTTGGAAGACCTTATGAGTGAATGTTATGGAAAGAAATCCCACTAACACGGAGGATTTGTTGGTGAAGCTTCAAGAAGAATGGTCTAAAATTAGTATCGAGGATTGTCAAGAACTGATTCGTTCTTGTAGTCGAAGATGTGCAGCTGTCATTGAGAGCAAGGGCTCATTTACTAAATATTGATTGTACATGTATTTTATTGTTTTTTAGCCGTTTACATTGTTTTTCTCAATTTTGTCCCTTACTTTTGGACGTTCCAAATTTGAAAATAAATAAATAATTGTTATAATTCTTTTTCTATCCTTTGCAAATTATTCAAATTTTAGTATGTTATTATGGATGATAACGACTACCAGTTGTCAAAATTTCAGCTTTTCACAGTTGTTATTTCTAACAAATATTAGGTTTTAAAATTTTCTCCCGTAGTTTTGGACGCTACTGTATATACAAATAAATAAATACTTTCATAAAAGAACATTATTATTTTTTAATTTGCAACTTTTTCTGTAAATACATAATAAGAAAGTATACGTGGCTTCTCATTATGATATATATATATATATATATATATATATATATATATATATATATATATATATGGAGGGGTAAATTGAAGTGTCAGAAAATTAGAAACAGCTGTACAGTATATAGTTTCTATCTCAATCAGCTTCAGAAATAAGCTCAGCTGGATGATGCATGTATGACGTAATAGTTAAAGAAGTATTGTAGCTGTGACAGTGTAGCTGTAGGAAGCATGTCGTACAGACAAGAGTTAATACCGTTTAACTACAGAATGATTGTGAGGGTCAAAAATATGAGACACTCTATATCTGGACAGACATCAGTGACACCTGAAAAATGTGCCCCTCCCTGTAAGTGATCGAAAAATGCGACTGAAAAGAATGGTAACCACCCAACAAAGAGAAACATTGCATCAAATCACATCGCAATTCAATTCTGGTGCCACTCAAACCAATCAGTCAAGGCACTGTCTATCATACACTGCATTCCATTATGGTGGACCAACAAGGGGTTCTATTATTGACTCCTCAGCAATGCGCCTCATTTCGACCGTATAACATGGAAATAATGAAAGAGAGGCGTCCACGGAAACAGTTTGTTTCAGCAATATAACTCACCACAACCAGGGTACGTGAAGAACATTAACCTGGTTCTCGGATGACTTTCGGCACTCCGGATATCTAACTCTCATTGAGCGCGTATGGAACATGTTGCAGACCTCACTAATAACCTGCAGATACCACAAAGAAATATACAGATCAGTAATGGACAACTTGGACTTGAATAATTATACTCACGCATAGCGTCCAGAACCTTTTAGAATCCAAACCACGTCACGTAACTGCCGTTATTTATCTATCCTCTGTTAGACAAATGTCTATAGTTTCTGACCATTCAGTTTATATATCTATATTTGTACGTGGTTCTGTGTGTGTGGGTATATGTGCGTGTGTGTGTGTGTGTGTGTGTGGAAAGAGAGAGAGAGAGAGAGGCCGAATGAAAAGATTCGGTAGAGAGTGATAAATCACTTTACAGCTCCTTCCGCGGGGACATGAGATGAGAGTTTTGTCGGAAACGATTTATTTATTCCAATTTCATAGCGTTTAATTTAGCGGTCGAAGAAGGGGCTTTTTGGAAAATGTTGTAATAAAAAGCAACACTAAAATAAAGAATCAATTATATAAAAGCAAACAATACGATAATGAAACACTAAGATAATAAACACTAAAATAAGGAAACACTGAGATGAAAGAAACACCAAGATAAAAAGAAACACAAAAATAAACACTAAGATAAAAAGAAACACTTGATAAAAACGCTAAGAAATAAAGAAACGTTAAAATAAGGGAAAATATAAAAATAAAACATAAAATAAGGAAACACTAAACAAAAAGAAACACTAAGATAAAAAAAAGAAACATTAAATAAGAAGAATTAAGATTAATAGAAAAACTAAAATAATGAAAAACTAAAACAAAAAGTAATTGTAAGATAAAAAAGAAACATTAAAATAAAGAAACACTAAAATGAAAAGAAACACTAGATAAAGAAAGAAAATTATCATTAAATCCCGTCAATATCAGTTTGGACATCTTTTGCAGTTTTGATTTCTATTTGCAGTAACAAAACGCAAGAATTTCATCGGCTGTTCTCTGTGATATTAAGAACGTCTAATTGATCTCCAAAATCATAATGGCCCGTCCAGTAAAGTTGACAGTCTGTGGCAGTGGACCTGGTTCCCAATTGGTGGCTGGTCTGGCCGCTTCAAGACCTAACTTTGAGGTAACAGTGTTCACCCTGGAGAGTAAAGCAGCCGAAAAGTGGAATGCAGCACTCAAAGCCAAGGTAAAACCTTTATTTTTTCTTCTTTGCT